CTGGCGAAGCTCATGAGCGTTTGGCCATTGTGGAGCGGCGACACGCCGTTATTCGCAAAGCAGTTGAAGTTTACCTCAACGATCTCCAGATGGATGGACCTGCAGCCATCCAAGAGGCCCTGAGCTATGTGATCCCACAGCTGAACAGCATGCCAGGTGTTGCCGGATTCTCACCTTCACAATGGGTGCTTGGCTATCAGCCCTCGCTTGCTGGTGACCTGTTGTCTGATGCCACTCAGCCTGCTCACTTTGGAGGCAACCAGACCTTTGAGGAGATGCTCACAAAGCGTCATGCCGCTCGCAAAGCCCTCAATGATGCAGATGCTGACCGACGTCTTCGAAGAGCACTTCATTTGAAATACAAGGGCATCAACTCAGAGTATGCCCTGGGTCAGCAAGTATGGTTCTGGAGGGACGCTCGCCAACCCGACTTAGTCAAGATTCGGTGGTTGGGACCTGCTAAGGTCGTGATGAAGGAGCATCGACCCAACACTGAAGACTCAGAAGGTCCTGTCTCTGTGTACTGGCTCGCCTACAAGACCCAGCTCATTCGCTGTGCACCTCATCATGTTCGAGCCGATGTACGAAACCTCAACCACTCCATCGAAGACACGAGGGATGCTCTGAACCTGGTGAGGCAGTTGAAGTCAAGAGGAGTCACTCGGTTCTATGACCTTCATCGAGTCAACCGGCAGAACTTGGCCGATGTCGAGGATGATGAACAAGGCGAGGGCACACAGCTCGACACGGAGTCAGAACATGAAATGACTCCTCCCCGCCGCAGACCTCGGCTCACAATGGATCCACCTCCAGCTCCGTCTGAGGCACCGCCAGCTTCACCGCCACCAGATGAACCAGCACCAGCCCAACCCGTGGCGCCAACTGCGCTGGAAGAAGGCCCAGCGGCAGAGGCAACCACATCGCTACCTCCGGTCCCAGGCGATGATGATGAGGTGATCTCCGAACCCAGCCAGGAACCCAGTGAGGAGCCACCAGTGGCACCTTCGATGCCACCCACACCGGCACCACAACCTCCAACAACTCAGCCGCAGCCCACGTTGGATCCAGCAACTGCAGCACTTTATGAATCACAACCAGCTGAGACCTTCCAACAGCAACGACTTCGGTTCAACAGGCAGGAGACCTTGAGCTTTGCTCCGTTTCGCCGTCGACTTCAACATGGACAACCACCGTATCCCACTGCGGAATCAACGGAAGCCCCAGAAGCCCATGTTCCACCTCTACCAGCACCTGAGCAGCTCGATGGCCAAGCGTTCTACATTGAGAACCTGGATGCCAAGTCATTGCCCTCTGGTTGGCGAGTGGATGAACAGGGTTACCTGCAGCTTGAGGAGAAAATTGCTGACTATTGGGAGCTCAAAGCAGGATGTTTGATCCGTCACCACATGATCCCTCGCCGAGGCCGCATGCACATCGAGCATTTGCCCAAAGACTGTCCGATCAATCCGGACCAGCTTGACAAACTCAAGATCACCATGGTGTATCAGGCCAATGGCCGGAGCCAGCTCTACACCGATGACGGAACGGTCACTTCACCTCCCGATGACACCAAGGGAGCATGGACAGGCACCACCATCCAACTCTCCGGCACTGCCCGACGCGAGATGGCTATGTACACCAGTACTCCCATGGTTCGCACCAGCGCTCGACAAGTGGCCAAAGAGCAGAAGAAGTCCAATCTCAAGAAGTTCAAGAAAGACAAGAGTGGAGTCAATGAGAGACTTCTTGGTCCACATGAGCGCGCCCTCTTCAAGGAGGCAAAAGTCAAGGAGCTCAAGTCCTTCTTCGACCATGGAGTCTGGGCTTTTCAGACAACTGCTGAAGCTGATGAAGCCCGTACCTTGACCTCACGCATTTTGCTCAAGTGGTCAAAGAATGAAGATGGCACTCCACGGGCGAAGGCCCGGTTGATCGTTCGCGGTTTTGCCGACCCGGACGCACTGGCAGGAACAATTCCTACATCCTCTCCAACGACGACACGGTTGTCGAGATCTATGGTCCTGTCACTTGCAGCAAACCTTCGCTGGCCAACATGGACAGCTGACGTCAGCACTGCCTTCCTCCAAGGTCGTCCACAGACCCGCAAGCTCTGGGTCAAGCTGCCTGCAGAAGCACTTCAGTTGTTGGGCGCTTCAGATGACACGAGGATGCTTTTGTTGAAGCCCTGCTACGGCCAGACAGATGCCCCTCGTGGTTGGTATTTGGAGGCAGTCGATCGGTTGCTGAGGGCAGGCTTGAGACAGCATCCACTGGATCCATGTGCCTTCCTCATCTACGAGAAGGACGATCCTGAGTACTCCGATGATGATCCGATCCACAAGGAGACCAGCACTCTTGGCCCCGAGAAACTATGCGGCATGGTGATCATGCACGTTGATGACATGTTGGGTGCTGGATGTCCTCGTTCTCCCAGGTACAAAGCAGTCACCGACATGCTGCGCTCGACCTTCTCATTTCGAGAGTGGAAGGAGAACAATGACAAGCTGGAGTACTGTGGATGTGAACTGGAGCGCACTCCTGAGGGCGGCAGACGCCTACATCAGGAAAACTACTTTAGCAAGGTGAAGCCCATCACCATTTCCAAGCACCGTGATTTGCAAGAGCCGCTTGATGAGAAAGGCATCACTCAAGTCCGCGGCATCCTTGGCTCTTTGCAGTGGCCCGCCGTGCAGACCTCGCCTCACCTTCAGTGCTCGACCTCGATGTTGTCAGGACAAGTGAACAAGGCCACCACACAGACCGTCCACGACTGCAATCGGCTTTTGAAGTTCGCCAAGGAACACAAGGATGTCAGCTTATACTACAACTTCATTGGACACCCCAGTGAACTGCAACTCTTGTGCTTCTTTGATGCTGGCTTCACTGCCAGGTCTGACGGCAGCTCGCAAGGTGGCTACATCCTAATGTTCGTCAACCGACAGTTGTTCACTTCTGGCGACAATGGCGAGTATCACGTACTGGACTGGCGAAGCTTCCGCACTCCAAGGGTCACCCGAAGCTCACTGGCTGCAGAGGCCCAGGCTGGAGGACAAGCTGTGGACAGCATTGACTTCGCTTGCAAGTATTGGCACTACCTGCACCATCCCGAATCCCAACCTCAAGTTGAAGGATTTGTTGAAGTCAGCGTCGACCTTGACGCCGACGATGGTGACTGATGCCAAGGCTTTGTATGACTCCTATCATCGTGAAGGAGTCAGTTCATCGGTGATCGACAAACGGGTCAGTCTTGAGATCCGTGTGATGAAAGAGATGATGGAGGAGTTGGGTGGCCAACTTCGATGGATGAGCTCTGAGCGGCAAGTAGCTGATGGACTCACCAAGGAGTCAGCCCGAGCTCTACTTGCAGCCCGCCTTCGCCATCGCCGCATCAAGTTGACCTGGGACCCCGAGTATGTGGCTTCAAAGAAGAAGACAAAAGGGGAAAAGGCTAAGGCCATTGCAGAAACCACTGCAGCAGCACCTCACGCTCCACCACACCTGGAGGAGAATGAGACCCCTGAGAATGAGCAGATTCCTGCCGATGTCAACGTCTCGGAGTATCCGGAGATTTTTTCGAATGAAGACCAGCCAAGGAATGAGGAGACTCCCGACGGCGGCTTCTGTGTTCAGAATATGGAGCCTCTAAAGTATGTGTTCGCCATGAGCCATGGCGGCCTGCTTATGGACACCACCTTCAAGTGTCGCATTTCGAATGTCTTCGTGATGTTGCTGCTGGCCTCAATGCCTACCTTGACCAAGGGTCAACAGTGTGTGGCTGAAGCAGAAGAGAAAGAGAGTGAAGAAGGGCAGCTATGGCTGTGGTTGGCCATCCTGGCCATGTTGCACGTCCTCGCGATGGCTACCGTCTTCATGATCGGCCGCTGGACTGTACCACGCCTGGTTCAGGAGAAGGAGAATGTGGTTGACACCAAGGAGGTTGAGACTCAAAAAGATGAACCCATCGTGCATTCACGACTTCGAGAACTACTCCAGCTGGAGCAGCAGCGCAGTGCAGAAGCTGCGCGATCAGCCAAAGAGTCCAGAACCGCACTGGACCTCCTGGTCGATGAAGTGGAGACCCTCCGAACCCTGGTTGGCACTGGACACCAGCTCATCAAGCGGCTGATGTTTGAGATGGAGTGGCACAATTCCATGTGCCCTTTCTCGAGGAACATCGTGACCTCGCGAACCTCCGTGTGCTGGCACCATGAGACCTGCCACATTGTAGAGCAGATGAACGGCCCGCTGTATGTTCGTAGAGCATGTGCATACTGTGCAATGCACAGGCCACCACCTGATAGGACGAACGAGCATGCACAGACCATCCGACCAGAGCTCGACGCTTTTCTGGCCGCAGCATCTCCATGGGCAGGTGAGTGAACATCTCCCCCCGTGTTGAGACGCACGCTGTGCGCCACGTTTGACATGTCATGTCATGAGTTTCTTTTTCAAACCAACCATATCCCACCGTAGAGGGTGGGCTCGAGAAGCTTGCAAAAAGCTGCGTGTGGCGTTCAGTCGCCTTTGCCCTTAGCTTCGACCTCGTCGTTGCTTCGTGTTCGTTTGCCGTGGACTTCGTGCGCTACGGCTACTTCTCTACAATAGTGTTTGAAGAAAAAGGGCCCGGATTCTTAAGGATACATCCATTCACTGGGGTTCAAAGATCGTCTTTCGACTTGTAGGGGTCAAGGATTCGCCGTCGAACCGCTTCGTTCATCCCGAACCAGCGCTTTCGACCCATCTGGGATGGACAGATCCTCGTGTTTTCCGCCAAAGAAGCTGTGACATGAGGGTTTTTCATGTGGTTCAGGAGGGTCCCACGATGTCCCCCCCTAAGCAGTCCAGTCCACCTCTTGCAAAAGACTGATCAAAGTGGTCTGACTCAGTGACGTCTGGCATGTCCTGAACACCTTCGATCAAATCGTCGCACTCACTAGACTTCACAGCAATGAATGGCCCCCATCCAGGCCACACCCGCCGGTGAACCGAACCCCGCGCATCCCCGGACCCTTTGTCTGGCCGAACAGATCTCTGGCCCCTCTTGTGGGAGCTGCCTCCCACGAACCTCTCCCATGTCCCGGAGTCTTCGACTGTGGGGACGAAGGAGAGGCAAAAAACGACACGTGGAGGGCAAAACGGGCAAAGAGTTTCATGTCGCGGTACCAAACGAACGGAGGGTAGGGCGGCCTTCTGGGGGTGTCAAAATCCACTGGATGAGACTCAAATGCCACTCCGACACTCACTCCGACATGGAACGTTCTGTTGCGTCTACAGTGTCTTGGCGGTCTGAAAGGGATATGGCTGCGAGCCACCGCCCGGCAGCCGTGCGAAGAGCGCTCGGAAGTCAATGTTCACCTGCCGGTTCTCGCGACCGAGGACGAAGAGCGCTCGGAGACGACGCCATTGGGGTTGAAGTAGGGAAAATAGACCAGCACCCTCCAACAGGTCACCAATTGATACCTGTTAGGGCCTAACAACCCTCCAAAGGAGACCTGTTGGAAGGTCTTTGGGAGGTCTCCCTGCACACACATTCCACCTTGACCAGACCGACCGCCATACCAATTGCTGCTTGTTTGGGTCTAGCGAAGGAAGCGGTCGCATCCGGTCGCATCCTCACTCCCAGGTCGCCTGTCGGGCCCGAACAGGTCTCGATTGGTAACCTGTTGGAAGCTCCTGCTTATACATACCAGCACCCTCCTGGCCAGGCTGTTACTTGAGGGTTGTTGGACCCTGTCTCAGGTCGAACCATTGGTGACCTGTCGTCCGCAATCCTCCCCACCCGACCCAAACCCGGCCCGCCTGCTCCTGACACGCCTTCAGCGCGTCGCGGATGTGAAGTCTCAAAACCTGAGGTGTCGGAGTTGGCTCCAAAGCTCCAAAAACGCCGGAGAGCCAGGCCAGAGGGCCAGGGAGTCGGGTGTGGACTGGGCGGGTTCCAGATCCGAGCTCCCTTCATTCTGTGACCCCACAGGCTCCCTGGAAGGGTTGGTCGGTGGCATGGATCGACGATGAGAAAGAGGTACTCTAGAAGTCCTGGGCCCACCATGTATTGGTATTTCATCGCCGGAGAATCCCAAATCATCCCTGGACCATCCTGTCGGGGTGCGCTGTCTGGAAGCCCAACTAGGTAGTGTGGGGTAGTTCGGCCAGGACACCTGGATGGTCCTGGTCCGAATCAACCATTGTTTTACATGATTTTACACTACAAAATCCAGATCAACCATGCTTTAAAAGGGGTCGAACGGACTTCCGGTATACCCCCCCCGCCGAGAGAAAAAGGAGTGGGGTACCGAAAGCATGGAGGGCCAAAACGTCCACACAGGCGCTGAGATGGGACTGAAAACCACTCCAGCCACCCAGGACCGGAGTAGCCCGGGCTCCCCCCATCTCAAACCATCTGGCCGCTGGGACTTCTCCACCTATGGAACTGCAATGGGTAGAACGGGTGGAGTTCGATGTCGATTCGGCGCCAGGGTGGTGTCGACTGACCCCAACCCGACCGTCGCTTCGCTCGCCCGAGGCGCGTGGTCGATCTCCGCGAAGCTCCCGCGCGTTTGCAGCACCAGATCCGCCACCATCTTCTTATCCTTCTCGGTGGTGGCCTCCGAAGGTCAAGCGGTCAACTGGTATAGGAGGACCAGGATCTTTGAAGAGTGTGTCAAAAAGAGAAAACAACTGTTGGAAGGTGTACATGGTTTGTTGGTTTCAACTTAATATAAGATGTCAATAGTCAGTACATGTCAGTACGGTGTATTGATCCAATCATCCCCAGTAACTCCCAAGTACCAGGACCTTCCTTCTGAGGTGTCTATTTCCTAGCCTCTTAGAGGTTAGGTGTCCGAAAACCACCGGACTTGGTGGCACGGTCCTGGTAACAGGTTGAACATACACAGGTTCCGTCAACATCTCATCTCCCACAACCGTGGCAAAGGTCCTCGGACCGACCTGCCGACTCCGCGGAGGACCTTCGAGACGACGGACGTGGCTCCATGCACCCCGTCGAACGTGACTGGTCTCTTTTGTCTGGGCCCCTTATATCTTCAATCCCTGGTGTCCAAATACCCCCGCAACTCCACACCGCACCCACACCAGGTCCCCAAGCGTCCGGACTCTCTTCGGATCCTTCTCCCCAGCGCGTCGCCTCCGCGTCCGCCAGGCTCAGTTCCGCCAAGCGCTCGCCGATCTTGATGGAGATCTCCACTGTGGAGGAGCCATAGTTCAGCACCCCATTGGAGGTGCAAAAGAGCAACCCTTCGAACCTCGCGAGAGGTAACGCTCCGCGCCAAGGGATCCGATTCGGAGGGCGCGCGCCACGAAAAAAAAGGAACCAAGGAGCGTTCGAAGCAAGCACCCGCCCCATGAAGGGATCGCCAACCCGGGAAACCCGGACACTCAGATCCGGGTGTGTTTCCTGCCGTTCGTCCGCTTCACTGCCCGGTTCAACCCAGGTTCCCGCCGCCGAGACGCGGCCGCGTCTCTTCCTTGGCTCGTTCCTCCAGCTCGATGGTCTGCAACAGCTCGAACAAGCACCAGGACCTCCCATCGGACATACGGCGTTACTAGTAGCTCTCTTCGCACCGACCCCTCCGCGGGGTTCACCCCCCACGGAATGGACCTCGTGGTGGGGTCCCCCTTCTGGGCGGTTTGAGGAGCCTTGTGAAGCCTCCACAATCATTTGAATGGTGGTGGATCTCTCATTTCCGGAGGTGTCCCGGCAAACGTCTGGAGCCATTCCCAAGGACTTGCTCGCCCAACACGACTTGGGGGTCGCTGCGATGGGGGTCCAAACCGGCGCCCCGTCCGCTGAAACAAGGCCCAGTTGGAGCACTGAAAACACCGTCAGTCAGATGAGAAGCCCCAAACCAGGGAGGAGTGCTCCAAGTGCGGCATGTTCAAATTTCAACCCTAAAAGTCCAGTTCGACGATTTTGGGCACCACCGAAGTAAAGAATTGAACCGTCCATTTCGGATGTCCGCATGTTTTGCACATGGTCGACCCTAAAGGATGAAAGCACATGGCCAATGCTGGTGTTGATCCGATCCGATCAGACCGGAAGCCGTGGTCATCCACCTTCCAACCTGCACCACCTACCCCTGAAGATGTATTCTTCATTCAGAAGCCGCGCAGAATGGATGGTCTGGAAAAGGATCCCTTCCTGGACATCCCTTATAAAAAGATATAAAAGGGAGTTGTGTTTGGAGCCCTGACCGGCAAAGGTGAATGGACATCTCGGTTGCCACCACATGGGTGCCCAACCGTCCAGCCTGACCGACACTGTACACCCACGCCCCAGCCCTCCCTCCCCCCTCCAACAAAAACATCACCGGCATCGCCCCGCACGAAAATGGCGAAAAAAAGGAAAAGAGGCGCGGCCGCCTCTTCAGCGGTTGCGCCAACTCATCCAAAATCATGCAGGTTCCTTTCAAGCCCTCGCTGTGGAGAGCCTCGCTGCAGGTTCCCGTCCACTCAAACTCCCCTCCCCTGTGCTCCGCCCAGCCTTGGGCGTGCGTGCACTCTCCATGCTGAAGCCGAAGCCACTGAAGTGGGTGAATCGTGACCCCAAATGGCAGCTTCAGGGTGAAGTTCATTGGGGGAGCACATATTTGATACCCTGGTAATTCCAAAACGGTTCAAAAGAATGGTCCTGATATGTCCTGATCATCAAGGGAGCCTGAGTTCGAGAACTTCCTTTATTGGACAAAAACTCGTCGATCTGGACGGATTCCAGTGGCCTCTATATAGAAGCGGTTATTGACCGACACCTCTTGGAAGGCCTAGACTCCAGGACACGGGCCGGCCATTCGCAACGTATGTCAACACTACAGGCCACCCCAAGAGTTCGGCGTTCGAGTTCGACGCCGAGGAAGTCTTCTGAAACCTCCACGCCCCACATGGCTGGGGAACGAACGGAAGGAACGAGCACCCGAAGGAAGGTGACCAGAGACCCCCCGCCGAAAACAGGTGAAAACCGGAAGATGCGGTGCTGGAAGATGTGGTCGAACCCAGAATCCACCCTGCGTGGAGGAAGAATGCCATGCACACGACGTGCACACGACGTGCTCCAAGCTCACCATGCCAAACAACCACACCCTGCCCATTCCAAATTCCACAGCAGCACCCAAACTACGCGTCGCGCCGCGGGTCAGGAAAAAGATCTTAAGACATGGCATGATGATCCGCGCCTTGTAAAAGGAGGACTCCGTGTGCTGTCCACCACCCAGTTCCTCCTGGATGTTGTACTGGTTGTTGGAAAAGGTGCAGATCCAGTACGCCGTGTTCTCCCAGCTGCCGTCGCCCGGCGTGCGACTGTCCACCGGTGCCACGGACCAATCGGACTCCTAAAGCTGGACGGCGCGAAAAAGGAAGAGGACGGCGAGGACAGTCCTGAGCCCCATAGGATTCCTGAGCCCACCATTGACTAGAGGGGATTCTGACTGCTTTTTGCATGATCAATTCACCATGAACTTTGAAGGCTAGGGTGAAGAATTACGTGCCCCAACGACCCCGCTGGCACTAGTCACTGGCCGCGTGACATTCATAAGCAAGCTCCTCCCTCGCCTCCAAAACTTTCTGAAAATCCAAACCTCTCTGCCCACCAACAAAACACTACAGATTCCACATTTTCACAGCACCTGCCCCCCAAAAAAAGGGAAATACTATGAAATCATCAACTGCAATTAACCAGAAAGAGTTCCAAATCAAAAAATGTTCTCCAAAAGCTCCTCCCAGCTCCACACGCCTCGCACCTCCACACCTCCACACCGGTGGAACGCGAACCTCGCCCCCCGCGTTCCACCCGGTTCCGGCACGGCCGCCTGGTGGCGCTTCACCTCCTTGGCATGCCGCATCAGGGCATCGCAGTAGACGCTCACCGGCGTGCCCCACCAGTGGCTCACGAACCACTCCACCTGACCGCGGACGGCCGCGGACCCGCGGCTGTGGCAAACGGTGGGGCGCACGCGCGTTTTTTTTCACAAACGATGGGGGGCAAGACGTGTTCGTGCCGCGAGGGGTGGAAAGGAGCCAACCAAAAACCATGGGACCCCAAACACCCACGCGGAAGCCCCAAAGCCCGGAAACCGTTTGGGTGGCGGGGCTTTGAGTTGATTCTGAACGACGATCCAACAAGCGGAAGGTCGTCGATGGGGCCTTGCCTCATCTTTCGAGGGGAGAACAGGAGCGACCACGCGATCTGCGAGCGATCTGCGAGTGCTCGGTGCGTGCGATCTCCGACGTCCAAAGCGTTGGAGGTTGGGAGGCGACGACGTCCAAAGCGGTCGCGCGGTCGTGGTTTGGAAAAGCTTACCCAGCGCATCCCAGGCAAACCACTATATATATATACCTAGATCTTCCAACTATGCAAAATTTATGCCTTTTAGTTTAGAAAACCAGCCAAAAGGCATAAATGTTGCATAGTTGGAAGATCTATAGGTATATAAGGAACCAGGGGCCCTCGTTCGGTCGAACTGGTTTGGTCGTCGAACTGGAACCACTGGGACTACCAGCGAGCTTTCGTGGGAACTGCGATGGTTTGGGTGAGTTTCGAGCGCTTGTGGCCCGTTCCGATCCTTCCACCGACCCACCCGGTCGTCTGGGTCGAGGACGGACGGTCAATGAAATACTGGGGTTGGTCATACCAGCACCCGACTCTACAGGTCTCCGATGGCTGGAGGGTTGTTAGGCTCTAACAGGTTTCAATTGGTCACCTGGCAGTGAGGGTGCTGGTACAAGAAGCATCTAAAATTTGACTCAAGAAGCTCAAAGACCAGGTTGCAATCGGAGTGCTGGACTTGCATCCTATACACCTCTTGCCGCCGCCCCACCCATTGGCCGCCCCACCCATTCCGGCCTGGTCCGGGCCAACGTACTCCGCAAAGGAGAGCTTCGCTGACTTCGTCAAGGGCTGCAAGATGTTGGGATCCAAATAGTACATGTTCCTGTGACCCGAAGAGTCCACGTCTACATGGGTATCCTGGTACATGGGTATCATTGGGTATCCTGGGACATGATGCCTGCCAGGTGGGAGAGTGCATGAGTCAAGTTACGGAAGTTCCTGCTCACCTCTGAGCCCCCGCGAGTCACATGGTCCGGGCGCCCCAAAACGGAAGTCGGGGTGCCCACGTCCACGGCCCCCGTGGTTTCAGAGTAGATGGCACTGGCACCCCGAAAAGTCTTTTTTATAGGGGCTGCAAACAGAATCCCCCCTAACCTATCTAACCTTGAGGATGGTGCCATCGTGGCACCCTCTGAAACCCACGTGTGCCGTTCCGCGGACCGGTGGGTTTCACCCCGAGCTCTTGCGACGCTCGCCTGGCTCGCCTGCTCGTCCGGGCGACCCGACAAGTTTGTGGTTGGACCAGTTCGGTGGTTTGGGGACCACTCAGACGCCACAGCTCAGACAGAGGCCATGCATCACAGAAGGAAGGAAGGTCCTGGATGCTCCTGGTATCTTGTGGCTGTGGCATGCTGTGCCATTCTATATAATACCTAGATCTTCCAACTATGCAAAATTTATGCCTTTTGGTGTAGAAAACCAGCCAAAAGGCATAATGTTGCATAGTTGGAAGATCTAGGTAGATCTATGAGTCTATGAGACTCTTTGCACCATGAGGACTTCGTCCCCGGGGAGGGATCGCCCAGGGCGGCCAACGACGGGCCCAAAAAACACGTCGGAGTGCAAACGACGGTTTTCTCGCGTTCCACCGTGGGTTTCGAAGTTGCTACAGCAGGAGTTCCAAAAAGAAAGAAGGTGTTCCCAGGAGTCACAAAGGAGTGGGTTTTTAGTCCCTAGGCCCATCCAGTGAGTGGATGTGACAGGGGCACCCCTATCCTCCAAGTCCGGCACCGCGTCCTGTGACTCCTGGTCAAAGGCTCTATGTCAGTGGATCGTATCTTGATCAGCAACCTGGAACTGCTGGAACTCCTGCCTTACTTCACCAGCACCCAACTCTATCAATCACCGGTCGGTCTTCGAACATCGTGACTGACTGGTCCGAGGTCTTCCAGTTTCGTGACCCATGGGAGAGATAGTCTGTTTTTGTAGCCTATATGTGCCTTACCATCCTCACCACTCTGAGAAGAAGTGCTTGAAACGTCTTCAAACATCTTGAAACCAAGGAATTTGCCGAAATGGCCTAAAAGAATTGAAACGCCATCTACTACCTACCTGTATCTTGGACCCTCGAAGCACCAATACTGGAACTGACCTCACCCACCAAAGCAAGTCATCCGCTTTCAAGCTCGGGGCGTCCAGTCCTCTGTCGAATGATGGAACGGAAGTGGTGGTGCAAATCCAAGATCTTCCAGACGCGCAGCCCCCGTTGGGCGCCACGCGGCACGGCCAGCGTCTTCCTCTTCAAGTCCGCCTTCTTCATCTTCCTGAGGTCGGGAGAGAAGGACTCACTGACTCACTATGACCAGTACCCCCCAAAAGGGACGCAGATGCTCCACCGTTGACCGCCCCTCTCCCCCCCAAACCACCGAAGCCCGACCCTTACCGCGCCCGCGCGCCACCACGTCCGACCCACCCCGTGCCCCACGTGCGTCGAGGATCCGGTAGTCGTTCAGGAGGGTCCTCAACGTGGTCCCAGAGCGAATCATCTGCCTCGAAGAGCGCCCCGTGCCCGGGATGCCGCCCGCCCGACTGGTCCGGGTGAAGGCTGCGCTCTGGGCAGAGCGGAACGGAACGGGTTTGGAGAGTTCAAAGAACCAGAGCGCCGGCATGATGCGGGGGTGGTTTCTCTTTTTCTTGTTGCCCCCAAAAGAAAAAGAGACGCACACGCACCGAACGAAGTCCTCAACACACGCTCCGGAGTCCTGCACGGGGCCACGGAGCCCCCCAACTCGGATCACCTGAACGAACTTCCAGTGTTGGCTCTCCCGTCCCAAGGACGTGTGGGTTCACGCCATCGATCTTCTTAACCTTCTTCAGTTAGTGACCTTTTGACGATAGAACCAGGTTTGAGGTCACTGTTTCGGGCCGGTAAAAGGTCACTAGAGATGGCACTCCAAATTGGGTCACTGTGGAGAAGCTGGAACTCAAAAATCAAAGCTGCTTGATTTGTTCTTTTTTCAGATTGACATCGACGTGTTAACCCGAACAATCTCATGTCCAGCCAAACAAGACAGATTCGATTCTCAGCTTCCCCGCACTTCCACCCGCTCACCCGCTCGCGCCAAGCACGGCCTCCAGAGGATCCGCGCGAAGAGGGCGACCACGATGCCAATCAGCAGCGTAATGAAGGTTTCAGTGTAGTAGGGATCCAACCACACCTCGCTGCTAATTTCGGGGGGGTCCACCGAGAACCGGGAACCCGCGGGCGGCGCGGCTACAGTGTCGAGGTGGCTCTGCTAGATCGGTGCAGGGGTCACCTTTGGGGTGCGGCTGGTGTCGGCGCAAAGGAACCGGCCTGGAAAAAATATTCACCAGAAGGCAGGAAAAGCAGCTCATTTCGCAGGACCACCTTTCCCGCGAGGGGTGTTGGCACAGGAGACCATTCCGATATGAGGTGATGAACTTGCCGGACATCCTAATTACTCGGTCTTGACGAGGTGACCCGAAAAGGGTCTTGACGAGGTGACCCGAGTCCAAAAATGTCCATCGCCTTTCACTGGACATCGGGAACCGGTATCATCTTTATCTTCTGCTGGTTAGCTGGTTGGCTTCGTTCCTTCGCCCATCTCGATGTGGACAGACTTCTGGGGAGCCAAGTCATATTCGCCACGGCGAAGCTCCTTCACCCCCACGACCAGCCGCCATTCGGCACGACCACGACCCTGGACCCGAGCGGCGAGGAGGCCCACAGAGACGCCGGACAGGCCCACCAGCTGCAGGATCAGCGGCAGCGGCAGGCCTGGCTCGCGGGAGAGGAAGCGGAGCTCGCGCGGGCCGCGCGTGGAGCTAGCCAATTCCAATCTCTCATCAAAAAGAAAACGTCCGGTATATCTGGAGCCGACTCTTACAGGTTTTCCTCACCTGGCTAGTGACTTCAAGTCATAGGTGGAGACCTGGAAAGGCAAGGGTCCTGGTCTGGGGTGTCTTCGTTGGTCGCCTGCTATCGCCTGCCCGCCCCTCCTCCTGGATCCTACGGTATGTTCTTTCGTGTTTCCAGTACCTGACAAAGGAATTTCATTGACTGAAGAGTGGGGCAATTCCATGTGGGTCATTGAAATTGGCACTTCTATTCAAGGGGTCATGATCCTGAGAGTATATGAAAGTATACCATATTACATCTTTCTACCAGCTGGGATACGGATAGTGAAGTCTCTCAATAGCCTCTACCAGGAGTCACAAAGGGGTGCCTATTGGAGGTTAGGAGTGCCCATTATCCACTCACTTAGGGACCAAACACCACCCCTTTGTGACCCCTGGTATGCAGAGTCTGGTTCCGGTAACTCCCAACCATTCCCAACCCCACCACGACCAGCCCACGTCATCTCCAGCAACCACGTTTTCACCGTCATCTCCCGCCGTTGGACCGATCCAGGGTCACACCAACTCCTAGGGCCCCACAAACCCGGCCGCAGCGCCGAAAAATGGATCAGGAAATGCCGGATCTGCCGGGATGTTCCGGGGATTTTTCGACAGGCGTCCTTCATCTCTCTCCTCATCTCCCAGTCCTTCCCCATCACCCCCAAACCACCCCACCCCAACCACCTCCCACCAACCCAACCATCCCACCCGCCCGCCCGGTCGCCGCCGCCGCCCGGTCGCGCCCAGCGCCCGCCGCCGGTCGCGCCCGTCGCCTGGCAAGGTGGAGTGCACCAGCGTCCGCCAGGCGCTGAGCCGCACAGTACCCATGGATGAGTCCGCCTCGAAGCACATGGGCTGCCCGGTCTCGGTCACCACCTGCCGGTCATCGGTCGGTGTTCGGTCCATCACCCGGCGGGGTGCGGGGAGAGGGGTCTGGGTCTGCGCCTGGAGCCTGCGCTGGTTGTGCGGCAGGGCGTAGAACTGGAGCAGCTTCCCCGGCTTGGAATCCTCGGTGCCACCGGTGGCGTTGGAAAGGACCCGACGGGTCCTTCCGTTGAAGGCAAGGCACGGGCGCATCCGACGTTCGGGAGGCTTGGCTTCACCCTTTCTTCACCTCTTTTCACCTCAAAGCCTGGAAAAAAGGGCTCCTCTTGCTACTAGGGGCTCCTGGCCTTACTACTGGGAGCAATGATGTTCGCTACTAAGAGCAAAGGGCATCGCTACTAGGAACAAGGACGCTACGAACGGGGCTCCTTGCTCTTCACCTCTTGGTCGTCCAAAGGATCTTCAGCACCAGGTCTTCGAACGACCCGACCCGACCCCTTGCGCCGTGGGGCCAGGAGGAAGTGCCCCGTGCGCCAGAGGGTGATGGGGATCGGCCGGCCGCCGGGCGCGATGAAGTTGTGCAGCCCATTGGACGTCACCACCAGTTCCCCTTGGGTGCGGCACGGACTGCGGCGAGGAGTGCGGAAGAGAGAAGAAGAGGGGTCGTCTTTGGTCCTTTGGGGCAAGGATATGAGGGTCTAGACTCAATGGGAGACTATAGAATAGCTAGACCATAGATGGTCTCGGTCTGCATGTTTCTAAGCCCCCCTCTTTCTCGACTCGGCCTTGGGAGGCCCCCAGAGTGGACACTCTCCACCTTCCCCAGCCTCCACTGCGGGTGCAGATGTCGTCGATGCGCCGGGGCATGCCATGCAGGTTCCAGGGTCTCCGGGTGACCTCGCCAGCACGATCGATCCCGCGAGCGTTCGGAGCGCACAACAGTGGGGTGCTTCGTTGGCAACGGAAAGGCTGGAAAGACTTGCGAAATCGCTTGCCATGTTCCCAGTTGTTCGTTTCTGTAACAGAGGTGACTGCATGTACGGTCCCATGTCCGAACAGAGCGAAGGCCTCGGCACCTGCGGCAGTGCCTCAGCCGCAGCCCCATCCGTGACACCCCGGCATGTTCCGGGCCTCGAAGCTGCTGAAGATCGCCAGAAAGAAGCAGGACAGGGCCTCCGTGAGCGTTCGGAAGACACTCCGTGTGGTGGGTGATTTGTTTGAAGTGTTCTAAAAATATTTCAACTGTCGGACCGTCATTACTATACTCTCCCAAAGCATCCTTTCAACTCCCTTAAAACCCTTATATAGCTGTGTAGTGAAGCGAGGCGGGTCCTCTTGTTCTAAGCTCTATGGTTTGGATTGCTACCGGTAGATACAGCCTCTCTGCAAGCACACTTCAGCAATGGCAGTGAGCTTGCTCTCCTATTCCAGCACCCTCCAACAGGTCACCACCTGACACGTTTAAGTCTCCAAAAGCCTCCAGAGGAGACCTGTTGGAGGGTGCTGGTTGGTTTTATCAAAAATATTCAAACTGATTCATAAACACAACAACATCCAAAAAAAAACATCAACAACAGCCTCCTGCAGGCAGGATGCCAGCCTGTCTTAGCACGCTTGATCTCCAAGTGGCATGCGCCCAAGGGGGGTGACGGAGTTGAGTTCTCCAACTCTCCACACCAACGAGTTCGCTTGGAGCAGATGCTCCAAGCAGAAGTCCAGTCGGAGGTATGAGTCTGGCACCACCCAAATCAACCAGGTTCTTCAAAGTGACCCCCCTTTGGAGTGCCATCTCTAGTGACCTTTCACAGGCCCGAAACACGTTCGTGACCGAACCAACCGGGACGTTCGGTCGTTCGGTCGCTTTGAAGAACTCGGATGCGAACGACGGTGCGAACGCCTTCAGGGAACGACCATGAAAAGGAATGGGAACGACCGCACCGTGTAGTTCAAATGGCTCCGTGAAACAATGGCTCCGTGGTAAAGACCACTAAAACAATGGTTGATCGAATCCTACAGGGTTTTTGCAGGTCTCGACCCTGCTCCCCCATCTCAACCCCAGCGGCCCCGATGAGCACGAGGGTGGCCGCCAGACGGCCAGGCGTGATGAAGCACATCTCTCCACCGGGCGCGGACTCTTCGATCATGTACCAGCAACGAATGCACTTCCTCGGTGAACAACGAGGCCGGTCGAACCCGGACAACATCTGCCCGAGATGGCTGGAGATATCCTCCGATAAGAGTCCTCCTTGCTTTCTTTGTTCCAAATATAGTCCACTTCGACTCTGACATGGAGGCTTTTGTGACTTAAAAGCCGCAGATGTGGTGACCTGTCTGACGAGTCCGAGTGTTTCCTTTTCGATCTTTCTGGGGTCACGGAGACCCGTCAAATCACAAATGACTGGATACCTGAAGGGCGCACGGTGCGCTCGTCACTCCCTCCGATATCCAAACATGTCCGCTGGTCATCCAAGTGGAAATCGGGTGAAGGGAGGGGACCCGCTGTGCTTTCTTCTTGAGGTGCTTTTGGTTGAATCAGTGGCTGACCTGTTTGTCCTCCGGGTCTGGCAGCCTCTCAGGTCCTTTAACTCCATGCCTTTCCTCCACTCCTAACAACCCCCTGTTGGCCCACTTCCATGGCCCACATCGCCTGCCCAACAACCGCCCGTGTCCACCGCCCTTCACACCGCGACCAGGCCCAGGCGTCCCCTCGAAGCGGTACTGCCGCTCGGAGCAGCTCACCCGCACCTCGCCGAAGTCCACGCGGAAGTCCTCCGGCCTCGACCGGACGAGCCGTCGGTCGCGGTAGGGGCCGATCGGTTGGGGGCGGTTGAAAAGGGGGGGAGCATGTGATTCATGTGTTGGAAGTAGTGGTATAGAAAGCTGATAGCTCCGGAGAGCTAGCCCATTGGAATTTCAAGACATGCTGGGCTTCGAAGCCAATCCTCCAAGACCTTTTCCACATCGAAGTCAAAAGCGGTCTACAGTACACCAACCCTCGCTTGTGGCCGTTTTCCAACCCTCGCTTTTCGGGCGCCACTAAATGGTTCTAACTGAATGATCAGTGTCAGTGTCTATGTTTATCGATGTTACCCAAAACCAGGTCAAGCATTTTGTTCAATGGTCTTGGACACTTTGGAAGGCTGGGAGTCTGGAGCTGGCCTCGTACAAGAGAGTCTCGCGGTGGAATGCAAGAAGCGCTGGTAGCTGTCAGCCACCCGCTGTTGGCACCAGCAGAGACGGTAGATCCCGGCCTGAACGGAGAAAAAAGCAAGGTTTGGGCTTCACACAGAGATAGGCTACAAAACAACTCAGACAAAGTATTCTACACCAGGACCCTCCAACAGGTCTCCTCTGGTGGCTCTTGCAGACTTAAAGTCAAAGGTGGTGACCTGTTGGAGGGGGTCCTGGCATATGGTGTTTGTCTTGTCGACTCATTTCTTTAACTTCTACCGGTACATATTAACTCTTCGCTTCCCATTCATCCCATGAAAAAATCTCCCCAACACCACCACTTCTCAATCTTTGGAACTCCCCATGCCCCCGCATCACGCCCTCCACGCCACGCCCTTCCATGGACAACCACCACCACCACCACGCCACCACCGGGACGTGCGCGTCGTGTGGCGTGTGTCCCCGAGCGCCTGGAAGCCGCGCTGCGGCGACAGGATCCCGAAGTCGAAGCGGCTCTCCGAAGCCGTGAAGTTCGCCGGCTCGAAACGCCTGGCGGAAGAGGTTGGAAGAGGTGGGGCCCGGGGTTGGGGGTCGGCGTGGTCTGGCGTGAGGACTGGAGGACTGGGGGGTGAGTAGGTGAAAGCGCCAAAATGCCCCCGTGGCCGGAAGAAGGGATGGGAAAAGGACCACTGGCGGCCAAAGGGTAAACCTCTCTGAGACGGCTGGTGGCTGGTGGCAATGAACTGGGAGCTGCTGTTGGGCGAGTGGCGACCCAGTGCCAATGAATTTCTTCAACTAAACTTCAGGGTTCTCTTGCAATCCGAAGTCCCCTTACTGTAGATCAATCCCAGTGCCACTATTGACTTTGTAAGGAACCAGGACTCCTAGGAGTCTTTGGAAACGACTGGTTACCAGCGACATCGTGCTTTTCCTTTATCGGATCCACCGCAAAGCGACCATCTATGGCTCATCCACCAGGAGACCAACGTCTCTCGACCTCGCCTGTTGCTGGGGTCGGCTCTCCCGCACTCCGGCAGGATCAGCGCCAGGTCTCCCCCATTCAAGCCGGTGCCGTAGACGCCGCTCACGTGAAAGACGGCATTCATGGAGACCTCCGCGTCGGCACCGGCGGGTCCGGACGGGTCGGACGGATCGGATGACCTGACCTGACCTGACGCACGACTCGTGGATTCTGACATGAAAAACACACCCCGCGGACGTGAAGGTTCATGGATGTGAGGGCAAAGAGGTGAATCATGATATGACAGCCACTGAGTGGTACGAAGCAACCCTTGCCATCGGCCCTGCCAGAATCTATTCTTCTGCCAGTGAGCAAAGGCTTCTTCAAAATCGAAACACGTCCAAAACACGAATCACAAACCGCATCAGATTGCCAGACCCTCCTCTCTTTCATTCTCACTATACACACATCGCGGCCTGGAAGAAACATGCACCTCCCACACGGCACGCCCACGCGCATCCCACCCCCATCCCTCGCACCTGCATCGTCGGCATGGGGTTCGGCCCCAGAAAGCTTAACGTGCCGGCCACCACCGTGAAGTCCTCCTCCCCTTCGCACGAACGGCTGGAGCTGCCGTTGAGGGTGTCGTTGCTGGGGCGGCACCAGCAGAGCTCGTAGACGCCGTTCGCGGAGCGCCTCATGGCCTCGACGCCGCGCATCCGGAACGTGGCCTGGGAGCGCGCGGAGGTCGTGGGAACAGACCAAGCACCTGGGGATCTTCCAACTGCGCCCGGACCAACTTGCCGGATGAAGTCATGGAAAGAGGAAGAACGTGAAAATCCCGGCGAAACCGATGTCCACATACATTGGAACTCAGGCACGGCTGATCCGGGACCATACAGACAATTAAACATGAGACATCATGAGACTCAAAAAGGCTTGTTCCTTGCATGGATCGGGCGCCGCCCTTGGCTCTTTTTGAACCTTTGAACGCAAGGACAAGGCCTGACAAAGCCTTTCAACTGTCAACTGCAAAGCCTTTCTTCCTCCGTTCGAAGATACCAGCACGCGCCCAAAAGCGATCCCATGGGACGCCGGGTCGAATTGAAGTAAGTGCAGCGCTTGATAAGACCCATTTTCCTCCACAACCCATGTGGTTTGGGATGGTTTGGGTGCACATCCTACCTTCAACTGTCAAGCTTTCTCATCTTTCTAACCCCCCCACAAAAGGACCCTGCACTCGGAATGGCGAAGCCGCCCTCCCACCCGAACTCCCCCCAACACGTTGCCCTGGGCTCCCCATCCTCACCCCCCAACATCCTCCCCCCAGCGCCACATCCCCGTGCACGGACCATCCTCCGTTGTCCAGGTCGCCTTCTGCAGCTGCAGCTCCACCAAATCGGCAACGCCCCCAGAGCGCATGCCCTCGCTGGTCAGCGCCGGAAAGTCGCAGCGCGACAGCACCCGCACCCGGTCGCCCGCGCGGTGCGCCAAAGAGTCGGAGCCGGCCCAGTAGTGCACATCCACCTGGAAAGCTTTTTGGGAACCAAAAATGCAGAACTGATGAAAAGCAGGGAGTGATCTGGGGGGGGGAGGAGTGATCTGAGTGTCCTGGAACTCCGGTCTGAGCAGATGTTCTTGGAACGATCTGGTGCCAAATCCATGGCTCTTGGGGATTTGTGCTCTCAAATCCATGGGGGGTCACGAAGACGAAAGCCGCCGTGGGGGGGGGGCGCTTTTTGAGCCAGGGCACCAGGCAGTCCGTAGCGCCCATGATGCACACCGCCGCGTTGCTGATGAGGGGCCCGGCGAAGACCACGGAGGCCAGCCGGAAGCAGTACGGGATCTCCAACTGGCTCTCTTGGACGCAAAGGGGATACCTGCCGGATGCACGTCCGTCGTCGACCGCGGCGGCCACACTGCAGCCACTGTCCGGATTGGTCAGGCCCCTTTTGAAGGGTTCGGTGGTACTATGCCACTCCTCTCTCCTCTCACCTCCTCGCCTCCCCGGTGCGAAGCCGCTCGGCAGGACCATCTCTGTCGCGGCCTCCACCGCGAAGGTCGCCAGCGGAGCGCCGGGCGCGGCCGCCGGCGTCGCGTTGCCGTCCGTGGCGTTGGCGCCCGCGGTCGCCACGCTGCACCAGCCGCAGCCGTCGGCCTCGGAGGCTGCCACGAAGGCCTGCGGGAGGGGGAGGGCGGTTGGGGCAACGGTTGGAGAGACGTTGGGCATTTTCACCTGGCTGAATCCCAAACAACCATTGTTTCGACTACGGAATTGACACTGCAAAACTAGGCTATAGGGCATAATAAGAGTCAATAAGAAACGCAGGAATAAGTGTCTAAGGAATCTTTCCCGCGACCCTCCATCACAGAGTCCCAAGAAGCAAACCACAAAAGTGATACAGAAACATCATCGTCTCCAATCATGATCTGATGTTCAACAAGACCATCTGATACCAGCATCCTCCCACATATCACCACTCGAGGCCTTGTCTTAGGGCCCAACAACCAACTAGATCATCTATAATATATCTTAGTCTTTTTTTGGAGACCCGGCAGTGAGGATAGCTGCTACGACCTGCGGCCAAGCCCCCAAAACCTCCCGCCGCAACGCCCACGCACGTCCCCCACGCATCCGTCTGGTGGTCGTGGTGAGTGGATGGAGGGGGGAAGTCCCGTCTCCTCACACCAGTCCCACCGAAACGAAGGTAGTACTTGAAGCCCGAAAGCGCGCCAATCCTTTGGAGGGCTTAGGGTTTAGGGTCGACCCAACTTCTCTGGTTTTTTGGGACAAAGAAAGGACTCTTTTGGAGCGTCTGGTGGGAACATTTCCTTCAAAGACACACAGAGATACGAAGAGTTTTCCCCCTCCCGAATCTGGCTATGGAACTCCAAAGACCCGCTCAGCAGGTACTTGGGATGCAAGCCCGAGTCCAAAACTAGTAATCATCAGGTGACACAAAAATTCGGAACTTCCTTTACTTCAGCATGGCAAAACAGAGACTTTGGACCTCTTTTTCATCAGGGACTGCCGTCTCTCAGCGCCGTAATTCTCCGTACGTGTTTCGCTCGCATCTACGGTACCATCAGTACCCAACACGCTACCCACTCACGCCTCCTCCCCAAAAGCGAGACTTCTTCTCGTCCCCCGCCTGCGGCCCGGAAGGAACGCCCTCCAACTCCAGGCGACAGGTGGAGCCGCGGAAGCACTGGAACTCCTGGCGAGGTGCGGGGTCAGTCGACCGGAAGGCGAGGTGCGACGCCCGGGAAGTCGGGACGTCCGCAGACCGGAGGGTCCCAAGAAGAAGGACTTCAATGGCCCTAAAGAGAAACAATCAGCAAGCGTTCAAGGGGTCCAACTCTTACTCACCTGAATCACATGTCAGAAGGGTTTTTGTTGCTCGTTGCCTACTGCTATCGGGGCTTGGGGTCTCCATTTGAGGCCATTGGCAACTGGCACCACATTGCCCGGTGGGCGACCCCACCAAAAAATAACTTTGGTAAATAGCGGTCAAGGCCTAAGCAGCACGGATTTCGGATGGTTTCAAAAATATGTTTCATTGTGTGTCTAATATTCTAGAGATCCCTGACTACTCCGGTATTCCCTTCCAATCACCACCCTTTCCGAAGGGTCCCGGAGCTCGGAAAAAATGGTCTCGCCTTCTGCCATCGCCTTTGGCCATCCTTGGCACAAGCTTCTGGTTTTTCCCAAAAGTCACAGCTCCTCCAAGTCCAAATCCTTGAGCTCCAACAGGAAGCGCTCCACCGGCAGGCTGGCCGAACTTCCACGACTCAGCGACGCACGGAAGCAAACGCCCTCCTGGCGTTTGAAAAGCGAGGCGGGAGGGACGGTCGGAGGGTGGCATGGGGAGCCCTTTGGGTTGCACTCCTATACACCGCAAAAAAGGAGTCCGGTCTTTTTTTCATCCTTTTGAGACAGTCTAGAGACTAGTGACTAGTGAGAAAGGGTGAGCAGCTTTTGCCAAAAGTCTTGTCCAATGGAGGTCCAACCCCCCCTTTATGAACCTGGCATCCCAACCTGTTGCTTCGTTCTATAGAAAAATCATGGCGGCACGCCGGTGTTGCCGAGGAGGCATGCCGTGCATGAATGAGCCTTGTGGCATGCCGTTCGAGAATTCCAAGCATGCATCGGATCCCAGGGATGCCAGGGGGAAAATTTCAGGGGGCGGGTCCCCACCAACCGTCACAAACCAGTAAGGAGATCTCCTTTGCAGGTTCCCACAACCAGATCATATACAAAGGCACCCGACTTCACAGCTCACCACCTGCGACGGGTCAGACCCTCAAGCTGGATCCAACTGGGCCGGGTCAGACCCGTCCGCTGAAGCCCACGGGCGAGACGAAGCGGTGCTTTTGGGTCTACAACGGACACATCAGCTTCAACAGGCTGACTGCCAACTCCACCAGTCTACACTGTCTACACCTTCCGGTTGCTTGAAAGCCTGTTGCTGCTCTTGAAAATTTGACAACCAGCGCCGTTCATCAAGGTCACCAAGGAATGGACTACCCTCCACTACTCTCCTATCACCAGATCGATGACCTTGACAAACCCACCTTTCCCACTCCAATGCGCGTGCATCCAACACACCGGAGCGAGAAGTTTGATCAGTTCGAAGAACCCAAGACCCCAAGACGAGGTGGAATTCTCCCCAAAGGCTGGAAGTACCACGCCGGTGTCCGCTGGTCCGATGGCGGCGTGGGGAACCGCGCGGTGGAACCGGCTCCTCTTCTTCGAGGCTGTCTGGAATGGTCAAGATCGTCGTTTCGTTCCACAAGATCCGCCCCTCAAAGAGCTCCTGCCACGTGGTTTTTTGCCCGGAAAACGAGAGACCGGCCACGCGGTTCGTCCGTCCGAAGGGGGGAACCTTTCGTGGATGATGCACATGGGATGGACGTGAATCCTAGAGCTCCGCGTGATGCGAAAATCAGTTGTCTTTGTGAGACGAAGTGGCTTCAAAGAACCCAGGACCGAAGAGATCGAGTTTGGCCATCGGACACAAGCTACACTTGAACCTTTTGTCATATATTTGAAATTTGTCGTCTATTCTTTATGTATGTCTTTCGGAAGATGCCGGTAAGTAAAACAAATTGCCTTCCCAGGAACCCCTTCAAAACAACGGTCTCGCAAGCCTGCGTTCCTTCTCTTAAAAGCTACCACCGTTAAACCGCAAACCAGTCGACATCCGGACCTCCAGCCACCGTCCACAAAGATCTTCATCCAGCAGTCACAAAGGTGTGCGATCCATGGAGGTAGTCGGGGTGCCCCTATCACGTCCACTCACTGGATGGGACTACACACCACCTCTTTGTGACTCCTGGATCAGCCCTCTCTTTTTTCCACTTGCCATCTGCGTCGATCATCGTGGGGCCTTGATCATCTCAAGCGACGCCAAGCCGACCAAGCACTTCCGGCCAGCTTGCCCATCCTCCCAACGAATCCTCAGCGAATTCGATGCCCCCCAACCCCGGCCACGGCAAAACCACGCAGGGTCAGGACCTCATGAATGAGCCGGGTTCTTGGGCTTGGACTAAAACCTCAGCCACACACCCCAAGCACCGGCCCTGCCAGACCCAAACGAAACGCCGCCCGGCCGCGTCTTGCCCCTTGGCATCGGCAGGTGAAAGTAGTCCACGGCCGGCTGCGCATCTTGGATCGCGAAGTCGGAACCACAGGGGCTGCGCGCCACCTGGCGGCTCGCAAACACCAAGAGCGGCAGGCTAAGAACGCTCGCGACATACGATGCAAAGGTGTAACAGCTGAGGATGTCTCCACTTCCCCAAGATGTAGAACCCATCCGGGTCGAGGGGATTTAATTGATCAACGGTCAACCTGTTTTTATTCCACTAGTTGGCCTCTTGCGCATCCAATACTATATAGCACTAAGCGTCCCTTCGCTCCTCGAAAACAAAAAAAAGTAAATGCAACACAGCAGCAACGCGTCACTCAGCCCCCTTTCCACTTCGGCGTGTGTTCGCTTAGGACTTCGA